AGTCAGTGGTGCTCAGCCTTCCTAACGCCGCCACCCTTTCATACAGTTCCTCATGTGGTGGTGATCCCCCATAAAATTCTTTTCATTGCTACTTCATCACTGTCATTGGGCTACTGTTATGAATCAGGTGACCCCTGGGAAAGGGGTTGAGAACCTCTGCAGGAGGTGAAAGGTGGTAAACAAGATATTCACAGGGAGCCAGAGCGCCCTCCCAGGCAGGATTTGCTAACTGCAAAGGGAACAAATGTCATCCTTGGAGGGCACCACCCTACCGCGTGGACACGCACTGCTTCTGTACTGGAGGATCATCCCGGCTCTGCTGGCACAGGGGGGTTGTGCCTCAGGCTACTAACTGCAAGGTCAGCAATTCAAACCCACCAGCCGCTCCGTGGGAAGAGGCTGAGGCTTCCTATTCCCATAGAGGTTCACAGCCTCAGAAACGGTCGGGAACCGATTTAGTCTGCCTTGTGAGGTTGCTGGGAGTCCGAGTCAACTCGATGGCAGTGGGCTGGTTCATTGGGCTGCTGTGGTGGAGTAGAAGGTACACCCAATCATCTGTGACGCTGATCTAGCTCTTTAGGCTAATTCTCAGTTGACAAGGGATAAAGGAATACGTTAAATGACACTATAAGAACAACTCAGTGTTAGGTGCCACTTCCCACGTACAGCCAGACCCACCAAACTTTTCATCTGGATGTTTTTATGGGTCCACGGTCATTGTCAGCCTAGCTGTCCAGAGCAAAAGTCCATTACCATCAAGGGGAGGCCAACTGAGGGTGACCCCTGAGGCTATAGGGGAGCCCTGCTTTGTAGGGTTTTACTGACAGATAATCTTTGTGGATTGGTGTTGGACATATGGGTTGATGGGTTAATGTTGGACGCGTGGGCTTGGACAGCACTGGGTTGGAAAGCTTTCTTGATGTACACTTAACCTTTATATAAAACTCTCTCATAAAAATAAAATAAAATAAAAAAATAAAAAGAACAACTCAGAATGTAGGATATTCTGGGGGCAAAAAAACAGATCTCTCAAAAGTCAGCGTGATGGGAGAAGAAGGTTCTAGATGAAAATATATTAAAGAAATATAACAAAAGCAATTTGGCAGACCTATCTGGTTTTCATTTGGCTACTAAAGACATATCTAAGACAAATGGGAAATGTTCAATACGGGCCGTGCTAGGACAATATTATTGAATGACTGTTGCTTTTCTTAGGAGTGATAAAGGCCATGTAATAGGCTGTCTTCAGACGCTATGCAGGCTAAAGGGTTGAAGAATGAAGTGCTCTCATGTCTGCAACTGACTTTCAGTAGTTCTGAAGAAAAACGATGGGTAAAACCAAAACCAAACTCACTGCCATCGAGTCCCTGCGGACGCACAGTGGCCCTGTAGGACAGGGTAGAACTGCCCCTGTGGGTCTCCGAGACTATATATAACTCTTTATGGGAGTAGAAAGCCCCATCTTTCTCCGGAGGTTTCAAACTGCTAACCTTGTGGATTGCAACCCAACGCGTACTCACTGCACCCCCAGGGCTCCTCTGATCGAGCAGATAGGCTACTTGTTAATAATGTGTGTGCTGGAAAGGAGACCGCAGTGTACACGGGGCCTGGCAGTGGCTGTCGTGTAGCCTCAAGCTTTCCCTAGGGTTTCATCTTCCTGCTCCAGGAAGCTACCCACCCCTGAGACTGGGTGATGCTCCACTCCAGGCACCAGCAGCCAGCATCCTCGGCCTGTGTTGTACATGTGGCCACCGTCTGTGTTGTCTGTCCATGTGTCCATCTGACCACAGGCTCCTTTTCAATTAAGGCCCAAGAAGAGCAGACCACCCCATCAAAGGGGAGCAGACAGAAACCAAAAGAAAAACTGGAGCAGTCCCGCGAGTCTCAGAAGGACAGGCGTCGCCTGCCTGTTAACAGGAAGGGGCTTACTGGGGGAACCCCTGGAACCACCGCTCCCCTGTCGGACATAGACCAGAACAATATCACTGGGCAGCACTCCCAGGAAAAATTCATCAGGTAGGCTCCCAAGTCGCCAAGGAGGTGGGTATTGGGGCCCCCAGTGCTGAGGCTGCCCTGCCTGGGGGGCCCTATGGACTGCCCATGCCGAACTCCAGCAGGCCAGGGCTTCTCCCAGGCAACTCCCATGACTTCTCCCAGCCGGAAGGAAACACTCTCGTTTTAAGGGGCTACATGATCCTTTGCAGGCTGAACAATTTCCGGTGGATCGTGCCAGCCAATGGCGAGGTGACCCTGCGAGTGCACTTCTCCTCCAGCGATATCGGGAACTTCGACCAAACGTTTAACTTTGAGATCCTTGGGACCCGCCGTCAGTACCAGCTCTACTGCCGAGGCGTCTGCACTTACCCATACATTTGTCAAGACCCAAAGTAAGTAGGTTTCATTCTGAAAGAAAGGATTGGCAGACACCTTTTAGTTTTCCTCCCACAGTACTTGGGTGGCTCTTAATAATAATGTGGAGCTGGGACAGCATCCCAGGCCCTTTCATGGGGCTTTTAGTGCCTTGGACACTGGCGTAGAGCTGCAGGAATGACATGACACCGTGCGACATTCCCAGATTCGGATAAAGAGAATGTTCATAGGTATATTGGTTTCCATGGGCTGCAGTTACAAAAGGCATAAGCTGGGTGGTTCTAAGAAGGGACCCGTTCTGGAGGCTAGATGTTAAAATCAACCGGTCAGCTGGGCCACGCGCCTCCTGAAGGTTCTAGGGCAGTGGTTCTCAACCTTCCTAATGCCACGACCCTTTAAACAGCTCCTCATGTGGTGACCCCCCAACCGTAAGATCATTTTCGTTGCTACTTCATCACTGTCTTTTTGCTACTGTTATGAATCAGGTGAAAGGGTCGTTCGACCCCCAAAGGGGTCGAGACCCACAGGTTGAGAACCGCTGTTCTAGGGGAAGCTGCTTTTCTTGTCTCCCAGACCCTGGTAGCACCGGCACGCCTTGGCTTGTAGATGTGCCTCCACATGACCACCCTTCACTTAGCGGTCTCTCTGTCTCTGCTTTTATAAGGGTTCTACTCAGACAGGATTAGGACCCTCATTGCTCTAGTGTGACCTCAAGTTAACTGAAAACATCTTCAAAGACCCTACTTCCCAACAAGGTCATGTTCAGAGGGGGTCACAGGTGCCAGGGGTTAGGACAGCCACATATCTTTGTTGGGAGGGGGCCACATTTCAATCCGTAACAATGCGAAAAAGTGGGAGATGGGGGGAGTGTGCCTCTGGCAAGTGAGTTCGATTTTTCACCAGTAAGCAAATTTGAGCAGATTTCATATGTCCTCTAGGATTTTTAATCTTAGGACTTTAGTCTAGGAGTGGGTGCTTTTCCTGGCTACCGAGTACCTGTGCAGCGCACACCCACACAGGCACTCGGCTGGGCGAGCGAATGAGGCTGACCTGGCCTAGAGGAAGGGAAGCATCGTGGCGGTCCTCACCAGGGCACTCCACTGGACCGTGGAACTCAAACTCACAACGAATTGTCCGTCAGGATTTGTTTCCAGCCAGAAGCACTAGAACAGGAAGTCCAACTCAGCTCTCTGGGGGGCTCCGGTTATGGAAGATGCCACTAAGAATCTCTTTCTTAAACCCAAGCTGTACCAGCCTCACTCGGGAAAGAAAGTCTCGACCAAGCCCTCGGCTTAGGAGTCCCTCTCTCTGCAGACACTGGTGCCCTTTGCTGAACGGGGAGCGCTGGGTTCAGGTGAGCATCAAGTGTCAGCCCTGAACGTTCTTTCAGACGGGTTTTCCTCTCCCCTCTCTCCCCTGTGTTTAGAGTGGTCTTTCCTCAGCGGAAGAAGGACATAAAGGCAAACGAGATCATCTTTAAGAAGTACGTTATGAGCACGAACAGGTTTTACTTCGGGCCACTGCTTTGTGGAAAATCAAGAGATAAGTAAGTGCTCTGTCTTTCCAGAGCAGACTTAAGACCCTCGGGCTGGGCTCATAAATAATAATCATCCCTTGTACGCCTGGCTTTGACTCATGCTGCCCTAGTTAACCCTGAAACACCGCTTGAGAAAGCTGGGCTCTGGTCCCACTCTTGGCAAGGGGTTCTGTCCGCTGGGCCTCAAAATGGAAAGCAAAGACAATTGTCCCCCTTGCATGTCCCTCTCTGCGTGCCCCAAAGGTCGATAAAAAGAAATGATGGCAGCAATAGTGAGAGTGAGTGCACATTTATTATTTATTATGAGTCTTCCCAGACCTGTCCAAGTCAGAGTCCCCATCCACTCCCCTAAGCTGTGCTGCCAGGTCCTAGGAAAGGTGAGCGTGGGAGGCGCACATGTGTGCTGGGTGGAGAGTGTCCAGTCCCTGCCCTGCCATCCTTTCCTCCTTGTGTGTGCTGTGGGATTTAAAAACACAGACAAATCTCAATCAAGCTTTGCAGCCACGGGGACCTGCGCACGTCCCATGTGTCGCTCACTCACTCACTTATCCATTCAACAGCCATTTATAGGAGAAGAGAAAGAAAGGCTCCCGCAGGTGGCATGTTGTGAAAAGCAGGACGGGCCCCATAGAGATGCAGGAGCAGGAGGCCGAGGCAGGGGCTGCTGTGGTGTGTCCGATGCAAGTCTGTGCATCTACAAAGCCCATGTTCTTCGCCCTTCTGTTGTTGCCTCGGTGTCACCACATGGACCCTTCGAATCGCCTTGGACTTTGTAGTCTCCTTTTCTACCTGGATTCTCATTCCATCCTCCTACCAAATCTCCATTTTCGTTCCTGTCCAGGTACAAGTCATCCATCTTCCCCGGCAATATGGAGACGCTGACAATCCTGAACAATTCCCCAATGCTTGTAGAGGTCTATTTCTGTTTTCAGCATGATGTCAGGGCAAACACCTACTTCTTGGAACCGACCACCATGATCCTTAAGCCCAACGAGAAGCAGGTACAATGGCAGGAAAACAAGCTTCCTGGGGCAGCTGCGGCCTCGGCCCCTTGATGTAATGTGTTCTCTGTTTTTAACGCTTCCTTTAGTTACTCAATGTGTGGGCATACCCAACTGCAGTGGGCCTCTTTGAAGACAGCATCGTCTGCTGCATCAAAGAGAACCCAGAGCCAGCCACCTTCAAATTGGCCTGCCAGGGCATCCGCCCTGAACTGGAGCTGGACCACAAGCAACTACATTTCGAACGGCTCTTGCTGCACAGGTCAGAGTCCTGGATGGTTCACCAAAGGCCAGGGCTGGAAAGGAACTTAGAGGTCATTTAGTTAGGGACCGGGGTGGGGGTGGGGGGTGGAGGGGCAGGCAGTTCATCCTAGTTTGCTCAGGGCTTCCCCAATTTTAGCACAGAAGGTCTTGCCTCCTGGGAGATTTCTCAGCGCAGGTGGACTGGGACTGACAAAGGTGGTTCACCTGGGGTCTGTGGATGAGCTTCAACAGGATTGGAGATTCCCCTAATATTCAAAATGTGTGCCGATATGCATTTCTCTCAGATAATGAGCTCATTCTCTAGATTTCAAAGGGGTTCATTACCAAAAAAGTTAAGAATCTTTGTTCCTAGACTCAAAGTCAGTAAGACAGATAGCTAGAGATGGATAGATAGATGAACGAATACATTAAAAAACAGGCTTATTGGCTGGATAGAGACCGGTAAAACTCCATAGACCAAGGCCCTTAGTCACCCTTCAGTTCTGGAACTGAACTCACCCCAATGGGCTTAATTTTCAGCCAAACAATAGACAGGTCTACAAGAGAAACAGTGACGCTAGGGAGGTAGCACGCTTTAGAATAATCCACCATTTGAAACCAACGGGAAAGCCTTGACCCAGGGACAACGTTAAGAAGGAGGACGCAGAAAGGAGGACTGGCAATGAGAAACCCAGGAAAGAAACAGGATAAGTCACGTTCCAATGTATATGTGTTAGACTTCTCAGGTGGGAAATACCTCAGTTCTTGGCTTTGCACGAGAAAGAATTCACGCTGAAGCCTGGTTTGTGATCCAAGTGGGATTTTTGTAAAGGACAGAGAAGTTTCAGGTTTTACAGTCACTGAACATGGGATGGCACTCCCGCACGTGGGCCTGAGGCCTGAGCGAGAAACCGTAGCATAGCTGAGCGAAGGCCACGGAGCAGCTGGAAAAGAGGGCAGTGCGCTCCAGGTTCCTTGCGTTTGGGGACCTTGCGCTGGGAGGCGTGGTCCATGGTACTGGTTGACTCCATTGGCTGAATTAAGCCCACCTGACCTAGTTTGGGCCCACCCAGGTGTACCTTACCGCCTTCCTGGCTCAAGGGCCTGAATTTGGAGCATGCTCAGTAGACACCCCTGACCCCTGTTCTACCTAACATATACATGGTTGAATAGAAAATCGGTTTGCTCTAAAAACTTTACCCAACTCACAATAAAAGGTTTTGGGTGTTGTTGGTTTTTTTTTAAAGAATCCTTGCTCTGGAAATTAAAATACAAACAGAGAAAGTTAGACCAAAACTGCAACCTCACATTCATTCCTTGGAGTTGAATCATTCTAGGTGTTGCCGTTAGCTTATGAAGTGTCTGGAGTGGACTCGGTCTCACAGCCACCCCTGGATTCACAACAGAAAGAGACACAACCCGTCTTGCACTGTGCTCGCAATTGTTAGGTTTGGGCCACCATGTCCATCTATCCTAGGGGGCCTTCCTCTTTTTCGGTGACCTGCCATCATTCTAAGTAAAGGATGTTTACTCTGAGGTCCCGAGGTCCTGGGAGAGAATTTTGTTATGATGTGTATCTTCCATTCCTTGGTCACCACCACCAGACCCCATCTCCTGATAAATATTCATGAGTGAGTTAAGTAAGAGTTGAAGCGAAAAAACTGCTTTTTCTGACCTGCCATGAGCAGATCCCTATCAGAGGCAACTATGGCTGTTAGGCTGGTGAGCTGAGTAAAAGCCCAAGTCTTGCCATTAAATGTGCACGTCTAGGGCCATCAATTCATCTCTCTATGCCTTGGGGGGGGGGTGTAAGGGGGGGGTAACTGGGGCGTGGGGTGGGGAAGGGGATTGTTAAACGAACAGACCCCCAGTAAACTGCAGGACAACATCAAGCAGTCTAACATGCTAACATAGTACCATATTTGTAATTGGTAATAGTATTATATCAATGTTAAATTCCCTAGGTTTAATAGATGCTCATTTTCTTAGGAAATATTAAAAGGTAGAGGAGCATAATTGCTCCAATCTACTTTCAAATGGTTCAGGGAAATAAGTGTAGCTATATTTGTGTATAGACCAAATATATTTTCTATAATATTTGATTTATATTGACTGTAAAGATATGTTTGTATTAAATATGTATTTAAAATATGTGTTTGAGAGAGCGAATATAAATTTGAGTGCAAAACCAAGAGGGCAAAATGAAACCATTTAGTGGACATGGGAGAGGGAAATCCATACAACTCTTCGCTAAGTTGAAAGTTATCTCATTGAACTTTGGGCTAATTTATGTGAGGGAGTAAAAAGAAATCAGACAAATTCGCCCGGCCCCATCAGCTAAAAGGCCCAAGTTAAACTAGCAGAAGGGAAAGGGGAACTTGTTGACACAGACCCACATAAAAGAGAACAATGGTTTAAAATGAAAATGAAAAATTGGCTGCTGCGGACAAAACTCATGTTCTTGCAGAAAAGAGTCCAAGGCAATCCGCCTGCGCAATGTCACCCCCCTGCCCGTGGCCTGGCGGATCACCAACATGGAGCACCTGGGCGAGGACTTCACCGCGTCCATGATGCAGGGGACCATCCCTCCCAAGTCTGAGTACGGCTTGCACTTGCACTTCCAGCCCTCCAAGCCCATCACCATCAAGAAGGCCATTCGGCTAGAGGTGAGGCGCCGCACAGCCCAGGTGTGGTCATCAAAACTCGTGGGTTCACACACACACACACACACACACACACACACACACGGACGCTCTGCCCCCACTCCATTTCATGGCCTCCCACCCAGAAGAGCTTGCTCTGCAGGAGACCAGAAGCTCGGCCAAGGCATCAGCCATGTCTGTAGTGTATATGGCCAATTGCTTTGTGCCAGAAATGGAGTGTTCAATAAATAGAGGGTGGAGGGGTAATGGATGATGTTACTAAACCTAAGTAAACACTAGATTCCTAAATTCATTCTCAGTGAACATCTCCAACACACACACACACACACACACACACACACACACACACACACACAACTTCTCCTCACTGCCTCTCCTTCACCTCAGTCCTCCAACCACTCTTGTTGGCTCTCCCTCTGAAATGTCCCTCCTTCCGGCGGCTTCTCTGTCTACACAGCCACCACCCTCATCCAGGACCCCTGCAGCCCCTGTCCCTGGGAATTCGGCAGAGGCTTCCAGTTCCCCACAAGTGTTCAGAAAAAGGGATTCAGGAAGCATTTTTTCTGACCTCCCATGGCGCTAAGAACAAAGGAGGTGGGGGTCTCCCTTCGTCTCTGAGGCCCAGCTTGTGTCCAGCCTCACTGGTTGGCTTCCATCACACTGTTGTCTTAGCCCCTTGACTTGCCACAGCCCTGCTGGGAATGCCCCAGGTCCAGTGCGGAGCTAGCTTCTGCTCTAGAGGTCCCCTAATATCACTGCTTCATGGGAGGCTTCCCTCATCACCTCACCTAACTCGGCCTGCGAGCAGTCTGCATTTCACTCTTCAGAGCCCTGGTTCCTTTCTTACAGTAACCTGTTCCTCCTCTAGTCACAGCCTTCGTTACCTAACGTGACTGCAACAGAGCTACCCTAGTGGATGGCTTCCACACACAGACACCCGTTGTCTGAACCGTTCAGAGGCTACATGTCCAACCTCAGGACGCCAGCTGCAGGGAGAGGCTTCCTCTCTGTGTCAGCTCAAGGCCTTGACTCCCTTCAGCATTGCGCCCATAGCCTGGGGCAATCAAGCCCAATTAGTCACTACTCCAAGTGGAACAGAGGAAATTGATGACTTCATTTTAGCACGGCAGGCTAGAGTAGCAGCAACATCCATCAAGGCTGTTTAGTGGGGGTTCAATTCAATGTAGTTCCCAAGCAGCACTTTTACTAATTTGTCTTAACAAAATCACTCACATATTACATGCAGGTGGGCTGTAATTCTTAAAATATGTCATACGCCACAAAAAGCTATAAAATGCAGTAAATGCATAAGAAGAATTCATTATTCCCACAATAAAGTGTGTTTTTTAATAATTGATTTTTTAAAGAAATATAGAATTAAAAGAATTCATTATTTTTACGTAGTTTTAGTGGCATATAATTCACAAATCATATGTTTCAATTGTTCAATCATACCAAGAAAAATTGTACAATCTATAATTCATTATTTTGAAGTTCACTTTCCAGAAGACTGGCCCTTATCAATCTTATACCATGCCCAAGAAAACTGGAGGGGTCAAATCATCCCTGATAATGGCTTAAATAGTAATCAACATTCCACATTCTTGCTTGAACTATTGGGAAACAGTTAAAGCAAATGATGATAAACACATTACCTATTTCAATGAAATTGGTTATGCTTATACATGGCTGATTCAAATAAAAATGGCTGCGGTCCTGCTCACAAGTCTTGCTTACAACCGACATGTGGACTTAACGCCCCTTGGAGATCCCCATGTGCCTTGGTATTGATCTTCCCCTGGGCCTAGGAGGTTCTCATCACAGGGACCTTGGGTCCAGAGACTTAGTCTGCTCCCAGCTCTTCTTTCTTGGTGGTAATAGTTCTCGCTTGTCTTAATTCTTGGTGGCAGTACTTCACGCTGATCTCTGCTTGCTTGTTTAATCCGCGTCTCAAAAAAGGATTGGCTCAAATATAGCCTTCATGTTATATGCTGCCACATTGATACACTTGCTACACTACTGTGTTACAGGATTTACAACATACATGATCATTAGATCAGGTCACAAAAATGAAGGATGATTACATAATACTGAGAATCATGCATAGTTCAATCTACAACCCTCGCTTATGTGACCACCGGGACAGCATCTCAGCAGACTTTTCCAACATCTGGATTTGTTTTTGTGGCTGTTGTAACATTATCATGCTCTGCGTGACTGGACACAACACAAATTGTTCTCTCATGGTTCTCGCAACCTTCCTTGCCTCTTCCAGTTTCTGGTGGCCCTAGGAATTCCTTGATTTACAGCTGAATCACTCCAATCTCAGTATCTGCCTTCCCATGGCCTTCTCCTGTCTCTCTCTTCTGTCGCTTATAAAGACAACTGTCATTAGATTTAAGTTCCATCTGGATAATCCAGGACGATCTCATATTGAGGTCTGTAATTATAGCTGCAAAAACTATGTTTCCTAATAACGTCACAATCACAGGTTTTGAGGCTAGAACACAGACCTAGCTTTTTTTGGATTACCATTCAACCTCCTACATCGTCGTATCCACAGTGTCTAATACAAACCTGTACACAGTAGGGACTCAGTAGAATCTACTGAATGACTGAATATCACTGATTCCTGATGCTTGAAGTGATTCTGAAACATTCAAGGTGCCATGCAAACATCTCTTTGAATGTCTTCAAGGACAGAAAACGTACTGCCAGTCAAAGTGTCCTGATCTTTTTTTGAGCAGGTTTGACTTTATTCTTCCTCTAGGTGAATTTAGTTTTTCTCCCTGTCATTTGCACTCGCTTATCTTGTTTGTACTTTTTTAAGCCAGCCAATGAATCTAATTTCTCTTGTCCCCTACCCATGAGAACCTTTCAGATGTCTGAAAACAGGGATTGATAGATTCATTCTGTGTGCACATACGTACGAGTCTAGGGATGATCATCAGAATTGTCAGTGCCAGTCTCTGCAGAGGCTGGGTCGGTGACCGTGCATACCAGCAGCGTGGCTGATTGCCCAAAGTCCAGGAGTCCTCCAGAAAAGCCAGCCTCACCCTCTGGGTGCTGGAACGTGGACCATGAACCTCGGACAGTTTCGAGGTTCACATGGCAGGGAATAGCAGACAGCAAGGGGGTCATCATGACAAGTAGAGGAACATCTTCCTGCAGAGATTATATTTTAGTAACGGATGTGGTCTCCCTGTGAGTCCCAGATGAAAAGCAGCTCCACACACCAAAGGCAGTAAGAGTCTCCCCACAGCTTGCCTGCACCTAGCCAGTTCAGAGGCTCCCTTCAACATCGACCCCAGGAAATGCCTTTCTTGCTGGTCCCTTAGGAAATCTTAAATCGCCCTTCTCATTGTACTCATTTACAAAATTTAACTTCTCCCCTCTATCCGCCTCTGGGCGATGGGGGAGGGCCCAGGAGGGAGCAAAGGAAGCCCAGTGCTGTGGGCACTCGGTATCCGTCAGAAGGGAAATGCAGCATAAACTCAGGAGCTAGTTTCTCAAGTTCTTTGTTCCAGTGGTTCCTCCTGCTTCCCTCCCTTCTCGCACCTCTGTCAGAGGATGAGCGACAAAGGAAGAAAGCACAAGCTCAAGGCGGTCTAGTTTGCTCTATGAAACATTGGCAAATATTTGATGAGAGAAAAGGTGGGACTCTGAATTAAAAGTTGGGCCTCAGGATGGCTGCAACGTTTCCCTTGGGCCCAAACCATGCGTAGAGGGAGATGGCGATGTCATTTTTTACCTTCAGGCCTCCTGTGGCCTCCAGCAGGGGTCATCACCACTACTGACTTTCCTGCGACAGACTCCTTATCATCCCTTGTTAATCTCAAGAGTCGTGGTTGTTGGGTGGCCCTGGTCAGCTGTTCCGTGGGGTGGTGAGAGGGATTGCCAACAGGATTGCAATCAGAATGAGCAGTGGGGAGCCGGAGGCCACGCATCGCATCGTCTTGCTTTGACTGAAGAGCCTTTCTCACCGTGACAGGTTTTGGATGCAGACAATCTCATTGGTGTTGTTCAGATGGAGAACATCCTGATCTTTGCCGAGTCGTACGACATCGCCTTGGACATCACCTTTCCCAAAGGTCTGTTGATCCCTTCGAGGGAAGAGCCGTTTCTCACCCATTAGAAGTTCAGCCGAGATGCTGCCTTAGTGTGTTCTCAGTGTTGGAGGACCAGGGGAGAGTGGGGAGGGGAGTCCGTAAGTTCTCCAAAGGATCATGCAAGCCCCACGGTGGTGTTAGCCATGTGCCCACCCACCCTAATCCCTCCAGGTGGAGACTGCAGGGAGCAGTCATAAATAACAACATGGGCAGGGCTCTCCTCAGAATAGTCATCGGAGAGTGGTACCCCTCTTCCAGCCAGTGCCCTTTCTTATCGCTGCTGTAGCAGATAACTGTAGACGGGGCAGTGGAGGGGGGAGGGCTCAAAACAACACACATTGATTACCTGTCAGTTCTGGTCGTCAGAGGTCTGCCATGGGTCCCATTGGGCCCAGATCAAGATGTCTACCGAGCTGCGGTCCTTGACGGAAGCTCCCAGGAGGCTCCATGTCCTGGCCTTTTTCAGCTTCTAAAGGCTACCCACATTCCCTGGCTCAGAGTTCCTTCTTCCATGCTCTAGGTCAAGTCCTTGTGCTGCCATCCCCCTGGCTTTCCCACCTCTCCCTGCCTCTTCCGTTGTAAGAACCGGGTATTGACACTGGGTCCACCCAGAGAGAACCCAGGATAATCTCCTACTTTAAGGGCAGCTGATGAGCAACTTTATTTTCATCTACAGCCTTCATTCTCCCCAGCCACGTAAAGTAAGATAGTCATAAATTTCGGGGATTAGGTCATGCACATCGTGGGGGGGGGCATCTTTCTGCCTACCACACTCCCCTAGCACCCACATCAAGTGTCTCCTTGGAGGACGCAGTTCCCCACCAGCCCTCCTTTCCCCAGCAGGGCATCTCCTCAGCCAGCTCCACTGTGTCAGGGCAACGTGTGTGCTTGGCTGTCATCCGTCTTCCACATAAAGCTGTTTACGGCAGCCTTGTGCATCACGATGGGAAACTGGAAATAATAACCCAAGTTTCTAGTGAAATCACATTATGGGCAGCCTCTTTTCATTCATGCCACAGCCATAGGATGGAATGTCATGCACCCATGATGGTCATGACTTATGGAAGGTGTTTAATTGTGGGGGAAACGCTCACAACGCAATGCTGAGTAAAGCAATCCAAGCTGATACATAATATTCCAACTCAGTAACGCATCCACTTTAGACAAAAATAGAAAAATGCACTACGAGATGCTGTAGCTGGTGGGAGACACGCGAGGCTGTTGGTCCTCAGACAGAAAGCCAAGGCAGATGTCTGTTGAACTGAGTGGAAGAGTCCTGCTTGGTGTGGGTCAAAACTCAATGACAAGGGACTTTTCTGGCCGGAAAATAAATTATTTTGAAGTTGTCCACCATGGATCTTCCAGATAAACTTCGGTGAGAGAGTAAACTATTTCTCCCCCGGTTCTGGTCCTCCTGGCCACCTGCCCCTCTGCCCCCTGCAGGAGCCGAGGGCGGCCTGGATTTTGGCATCGTGCGGGTCCTGGAGGAGGTGAAGCAACCCCTGCAACTGAAGAACCGGGGGAAATACGAGATCGTGTTCAGGTAAGCTGGAGCTCTGCAGCCAGAGCCCTTGCCTGACCCCGCGTGGGAAGAGAGTGCTGCCGGGGTGTCCGAGCAGTGGTCAAAGAACTTCTAAGACACCGTGCCTGCTTGCCGCCTTCCTTGGCTTTAAATGAATGGACCCCAGCTGCAAAATGAGCAGAGATCTTCACCCTGCTCCTCGTGCTGCCCCTCCAGATGTGCCAGAGCCCCGGGCCAGAGGCAGAGGGTGGGCAGGCCGGCCGGAAGCGTTTCCTCGAGCGCTCCTTCATTCCTTCAGTTGGGCTTCTCCATGAGATCCCAAATGAAAGAATGTGTTAGAGCATTTCAAGAGCAATACAGACCCGTTGTGTTATGTAGCGGTCCGGTCGGTGCCCAATGGATTAGAGAGCCTTGAGTGGGTCCCTCAAGATTCAAACCGAAACCGTCTGCAAGGGTGCTTCCGAGGAGAGGAGACGGTGGCTCTGAGGAGTGGCGTGGGGTGGACGGTCACTCAGACAGGGTCACACTGCCAGCACGCCTGCCCACTCAGTTTCTATGAAAGGTCATCCTCCCCCCAGAAGAATGCACAGTCTTGCCATCTCGGGGAAGACTTCACCTACCCCTTTAGTTACATTATAGCTAGCGGAATGCTGGCATGAGCAAGCTCCCACCTCAATACTACCATTAAGTAGAAGCAGTGGAAATCTCCATTATACGAAAGTAGAAAGAAAAAAAAAGAAATGCCCCAATAAACCTGGAAGACAGCCACTCCACTGTCACTTCAGAGTCAGCGTCACGGAATCTTGTCCTCCTGCGAGCTATGTTTTGGACCATGACTAGGGGATCAGCTCTGTTCTTTGAGGTCACACAAGAGTCCCCTCTCAGGTCCGGACAGGTGACACGGGGCTCCTTGGAAGGTTGTGCGGGGAAACTAAGGAGGCCCAGGCACCATGCGTGGTGCAGTTGTGCCGCCAGATCTCCTGGGGAATCGGAAGGCACTGGGATCCCCTCACCCCTGCAGGTGTCCCGCTCAGTCCCTCTGCCTTTCTCACACCTCACCCTCACTCTGTGCTTCTTACCTCACCCCACTGGGCCGTGACTTCCTGCCCTAGAGCTTCTGTCGCAGGGCCCTGCCCCCGCTTTCTCTCTGTGTCAGTGCCCCCGCTCTGTGTGCACTGCACTCGGACTCCTGGAGAGAGAGGTGTGGTTTGTCTCTCTCCAGCAGCCAGTCTTCCCAGTGGGCTGCACGCCCCATCAGGGACACCTCTCCACCACAAACTAGCCGAGAGACAGCTTTTTGCCAGGAGCACCACCAAGCCCCGGCCCAGACCAAGCTGCCCAAGGTGGGGAGGTCACGGAGCACACAGCACAGTGGCCACCCTGAGGCAGCAAGAGGCATGCAGACACGTGCAGACACGTCGTGGGTTAGTCTCCTCGCTAAGGATCTCGAATGTCCTGGAGAATGACTCACATGGACTTTTTATTCCCGCCTGCCAGCTTTTCTGTGGACTCGTTAGGGTTGCCGGTGACCAACTTAAGTTCCATGATCTCAATCCAGCCCAAGAAGGGTACACTCGCCACAACGGAAAAGCCCACAAACGTCCAGGTGCTACTTCGTGCAAAAAAGGAAGTCAGGATTGAGCACCTGCCTGTCCTGCGCTGTCATGTAAGAGAGGTCAAAGGGCACTGGCTCTGGGATGGGGTTGGGTGGGAGGGGGCTCCTTTGGGGAAAAGACGTCATGGTGTCTCAGAGGGTTAAGCACACAGCTGCTCACCTCAGGGTCGGTGATGCAAACTCACCAGCCGCTGCTCAGGAGACAACTGAGACTATGCGCTCCTGTAAAGTGTTGCCATCCCAGAAGCCCTAGGGAACAGTTCCAGTCTGTCCTATAGAATGGCTATGAGTCCGAGTTCCCTCAATGGCCCTGGGGTTAGTTTGGCCTGGTTTGACCAAAAACAGGGTCTCTCCATGCTTTGGGGGAGGGCTGGCTTGAGTAGCAGCTAGATAGGACATCCCAGGGTTTGATCCCAGCCAGCAGATGGGAGGTGAGCAAAGTCCTCAGAACTAGCATCAGGGAGGAAAGTGCCCCAGGTATTTGGGAAGTAGAGAGACAAGGGAGGCTGGGTTCAGTCTTCATTTGCCCAAGATGGAGAACTGAGAGCGGAAGAAAGAGTTGGTTCACATAGATCCTCGGCTGGCACCCAGTAAGCTCTCTCTGAGTGTTTGCTTAGGGAATGAGGCAGAGAGTCGTGGAGATTCTGGAGCTACGCCAGTGATTACTCTCTTCCTCATCTTCCCTCCCTTTCTAGATTATTGAGCCTACTATCTCGGAAGGGGGTGAGATGATTGCCAGCATCCCAATTAAGCTGACTGTGAATGCAGTGTTCTCCAAATACAGCATCAGCCCTTCCAGCATCATCAACTTCGGAGCCTTGATCTGTGGCACTCGTAAGAGCGCCACCTTCACCATCGAAAACCAAGGGGTCATTGACTTCAAGTATGCCCTCTATAAGCTGACAGGAGAGAGCTCGAGTCACCAAAAAAAAATGTAAGACAAGTGTTTGCTTGACTCTGCCCCTCCCATCGTTAATCAGCGCTTTACATTTGACAAAGAACGCTCGTATGCCTTGTGTTTGTCTGGGTACTTTAGAGAAACAAATCCACAGAAACTCATGTATGAGAGAGAGTTTTATATAAAGGGTCAGTGCACTTCAAGAAAACATCCCAACCCAGTGCTGCCCAAGCCCACAAGTCCAACATTAATCCATATATCCAACACCAATCTACAAAGTCCTTCTCCATCTCACAAAACACACGCAATGATGCCGACTGCAGAGGAAAGCCAAGTCAGTGAATGTGTAAGCATCTCAGCGCTGGCCGGGGTCTCCACACGGCTGCTCCAGCACCCAGGGCTGCATCGGGGTAGGTCCATGTGGCTTCTCCTCAGGGATGTCTTGCAGGAAGTGAGCCTTGACAGCTGAAGCAGAGAACTGGCTAAGGCAGCTGTACCCTGGTCCGACCATCAGAAAGCAAGAGACCGAAGAACTAGAAAGACAAGGCTCACTGAGCCATTTATCCCTCTCCCCTTCAATTAACCCCATATATGTTTATCGGCCAGGTTGGCACAATAAATTTTAACTATATAATGTCTTTTTTTTTTTAACTATATCATGTCTTATCTGGGTCAATCCAATCCACTTTTGTGGGTGATGTCACTAAGGTTTAGAAATGGTTCATTTCAAGAATACACAGACAAGCACAATAGACATTTATTCTGAACCCATGTCTTCAGACTCTAGACCTGGTGCATTTTCTAACCACCATCAGATGTATGAAACATTCTAGTTCAACAAATGCAAACACTTTGCTTGGGAAAGTGTCTACTAGTGCAACTGGTGTGGTCCAGCCCTCAACGGTAAGTCATTGTCCTAGCATGTCACGAGATGGTTGCATAATAGCTAAGGAAACCAAAGAAACAAAACGGTGCTTCATGCTGAGGATGGGAAAGGGCAGCCTAGAGAAGCAGGCTAGCGATGGCATAGCAGTACCTTTGGTCTACCGGGCACTTGACCTTCTGCTTCTGAAGTCACATTCAGCATTCTTCCACAGGTGGGTCTCAAGTCACCCAAAACAGCGGACCTTTGGGGGAACTTTGGCTTCTATTCTGTTACCTTCCTTGTAAGAGGGTGCTTCAAAAAGTTTGTGGAAAAATAGAAGTTGCCTAACTTTTGAAGCACTCATATATTTATGTTACTACTCCCTGCCATGGCATCAATTCTAACTCACAGCAACCCTAGAGGAGTGGGCAGAACGGCCCCTGTGGGTCTCTGACCCTGGAACTCTATGTGGGAGTAGAAAGCCTCATCTTCCTCCTGTGGAGCAGCTGGTGGTTTTGAACTTCAGTCCAGTGTGTAATCTGCTGCACTGCCAGGGCTCTTGGTAGTTATGTAACAAATTATATAAATACGTATGTATTCTATTCAGACAGTTGCATGTACTACGCTTTAAAGGCATCATGATGGCAAATGTCAAGAAAGAGGGACAGAATTTTACCTATTTTCTATTGTTTTTAATTTTTTATTTTATTGGGGGCTCTTGCAGCTCTTATCACAATCCATACATATATCCATTGTGTCAAACACATCTGTACATATGTTGTCATCATCTTTTTCAAAACATTTTCTTTCTACTTGAGCCCTTTAATGTCAGCTCCTCATTTTTGTCCTCCCTCCTCGATGTCCCCTTGATAATTTATAAATTTTTTTTTTCATGTCTTACATCGACCACTGTCTCCTTTTACCCACTTTTCTGCTGTCTTTCCCCCTTGGAGAGGGGGCCATACATCGATTATTGTAATAGGTTCCCCCTTCTTCCCCCTGCCCTTCCCTTACCCTCTCAGTATCACTGCTCCCCTTATTGGTCCTAAGGGGTTTATCTGTTCTGGATTTCCTGTTTTGTGAGCTCTTATCTATACCAGTTCACATGTTCTGGTCTAGTCATATTTGTAAGATAGAATGGGGTCATGATAGGTAGGGGGGGAAGCATTAAAGAACTAGAGGAAAGTTGTATGTTTCATTGGTGCTATGCTGCACCCTGACTGGCTTGTCTGTTCCTTGTGACCCTTCTGACAGGGGATGTCCAATTGACTACTGATGGGCTTTAGGTCTCCACTCTGCCCTCCCTCATTCCATTCATATGATTTTTTGTTTGTTTTGTTTGGGGTCTTTGATGCCTCATACCTGATCCTATCGACACCTCATTTGCCATTTTTTTTAAACGAGAGCAGTTTCTTGCAGTCGCTTGTCGCGTCCGTAGGAAGCACATATGGTGAACACATCACAAGAAAGTCCTTGTCAAATGATTTGGGGCAATGATTGTGCCTCCCCAATGCCAACTTAGGCCAAGACGGGCATCCTTAGCAGGCAGGATGGGTAGTCCAAGGCCACCACTGCAACGTCAAGGTGTGCCCTTGCTTCTCTCGTCAGACCCAATCATGTGAAGCATACAAGAACCAGGGAAAGTGAGAGCTTCTACAAGAGCGGACTTACCAAAGCTGCCAAGTTCTCAGAATCGATTCCGAAGGAAGTCAATGTCTCGAGCCAGGTGAGTATGAGGGTCCTGTTCTTCGCTCAGAGGAGTGCAGGCAGACCACCTACCCCTAACAACCAGATGCCTCCTGGGGAATAGCAGACTTTGACTCTACCGTGGCAGGAACATAAAGGAACTTCCCAAAAAATGTACGTGGGAAAATTCCATGATCACTTAATTCCATTTTCCACAAACTTTGAGGCCCCCTCAGAGCCGTCTTAGTGAAATGTCCTTTTCATGGTAAGATAAAGCCTTCCAGCTTTGCATTGGGATAGCTTATTTGGCTTTAAAGCCCTTCCTTGGCCTCCCATTGCCTTAAAATTAAGTTGAAACACTTCATGGTTATTTTAGTCAAGAATCATTTCTTTGTTAGAATCAGAAATCCGTTCAAGTACAAGGGCATCTCCTTGGGTCAGAGGAAGGTAGGCATCCTTCCCCCGGTTCCTCACTAAGTGGAACTGGGAAGCCACGGGCATTATATACAACGTGAGCAAAAGTCGACTGAGGAGAAGAAACCTCACCAGCGAGGGTTCTCAGGGCCCAATGAGCATCCTTAGTTCCCTGCGTTTTCTTTTTGCCTCTTAGCTGACAGATTTGGAGCTGAAGAAGCTGGAAGCCCAGAAACATCAACAAGCACAGGCAAGCTAAGCCCTCTAAAGCCCCGCTTCCACTAGCCGAAGGCCCAGGAAAGAAGGACAGGTTTTAGGACCTAATGCCGGGGGTTTAAGTGGAGAATGTTTTGAGAATGATGAGGGCAATGAATGTACAAATGCACTTTACACAATTGATGTGTGTATGGATTGTGATAAGAGTTGTATGAGCCCCTAATAAAATGATTTTTAAAAAAAAGGACAGGTTTTGAATAATAACTGCCCTAGTCCAGCCAAGTGGCACTACCCCAGCCCACCCACCCCCACCAGAAAGGGTTGGGTCCCACCCTCACCCATGCTAGCAAAAGCCAAGTAGGAAGCCTATTTATACCCCCTCCAGGATGTATTGACGTGCCCCACACCCCCTGCTGAAGTGATGTCAGAGAAGACCAAGGAGGGAACCAGGATTTTCATTCCACCAGGTGGAAGCGGGGATGCGTGCCACATGAGCGACTTGCACCCCTCGCTGTGATAGCTATTCCAGCGGTAGGCCACCAGTCCCCTCCCCTCCCTTGATGTCTCTGGAGCAGTAACAAGGCATCTCCACCCCTCCCAGCCCCGGAGGTATCAATTGATACCTAATGCAGCACCAGATCGCCCACCCCTGCCAGGCAGTAATAAGGATTCCAAGAGGGGCGCCTGGGCTGTGACTGCCACGGAGCAGTAATGAAGAGGTGTCCACCTCCTTCCCCTGACAAAGTAGCGTCAGAGAGAGCCAGCTCAAACAGGAGGTTTTAATGAGAGCCTGTGTGTGCTTAGACCTAAAATGTTCCATTGCAAGTCACTCATTATACCAAGTACCAGACAGATGTGCAACCGAATGGAGACAGATAATCAGTAGATGCCAACACTGAGATGACAGAGATGTTAGAACAGCCTGCAAACAAAAGCTTCAAGGAGCAATACATGGGTGCTTGGAACATGCTTGGGGGTGGGGGCGGGGAGGGAATAGAAATACTCAGCAAAGAAATAGAAGGTAGAAAGAACCCTATGGAAATTTTAGAACCAAAAAATAAATAGCCACAATAAAAAATTCAATGTATGGGAGAGGAAGCCTGACGGTGGACGCGGGATGGAGTTCTGCAGGAAGTCCTTCCTGGGAGTGATGTTCCTCAGGCTGCTGGGGGCAACAGGCTCTCCATCCTCAACCTAGGGCGCAATTTGGCCGTGCCCTGCTGGAGATGGCTCTGGTGGTGGCGGATGCAGCTGCGACTTGCCCCAAGCCATGATTGGCCACAATTTTGGCACGAAGCCACGGTGGAGCTGGCTCCTCCCATCCTGCTAAGATCCCTGTGGGAGGAATAGGCCGTTGAGTCCTCCCAGGCCGCCCCACACAGCTCCCAGTTAAGGAAGCTCTGCTGAGTGATCTGCTGATCTGCTGGGGCGTGAGTGTGGTTTTATATGGGCAACATTATAGGCATCCTGGGCTGTGAATTTGAAGGCCAGTCTTTCACATCTGGTGAAGCTTGTTTTTGCCCTGAGTGTTCTTGATCCATGTGTGATCAGCCTACTGCCCGAATTAAACAGATCATGTGTCCATCTTTTAAAAAAATTAATATAAAACCTCAGTGGAACTGAATAGAAAGGACAAAGGAAAGAATTGTTGAGCTTAAAAGCCAAGCAATAAAAATAACGAGTCCCCACAGATCCCCAGGTAAGTCATCCCCTCGCCCTTCTCAAGCCCTCAGCCTTCCTCTGCGCCCTGTGAGTCTTACTCCCCTTCAGGCATTGAGGAGGCCCTGCGCGCCACAGAGCAAACTTTCTGAGACATCATGTGCCATGTCCAGTTCCTGCTGAAAGAGCCTTCTAGAACGTGGACTGAGGCCCAGCTCCTCCCTGGATCGACAGGGCTCCACTGACCCTGGGCTTTGCTGCCCTCTCCAGTCAGTCTGGAGCCTCTGCGTCCCCGTTCCCCCCAACCTCCCCCACCTCCCCCTCAGCTGCCCTCTGGGCCGCTTGTGGGCCTTCGGGTAGGCCAGCCTGCTTTCTCTCTCAATCCCTTTGCCCGAGAAGTGCCCTCCATCTTTCATGCTTCGTCTTTCCAAACACGCTCCTCCACGGCCTCCACTTATTGCTTGCTGGCTTTCTCTCCTCATTCAAATCTGAACGTAAATATCACCTCCTCGAAGGCCTTCCCCGGTCTGCTATCTCAGCTCTCTTCAGCTTAGCCCCTTTTGGTTTCCTCCGCAGCCCTCTTCTCCGTGTCTTTATCCTTAGGAGTCCCTTTGCTTTCTGCCCGCCGCCGTCTGCCCTGGAGTCTAGACAGCAGGAAAAGTCAGGGTAGACGCCTGGCCAGAATGACCAGTGCCTCGGCTGTATGGTGGCTCTCACATCACTATGCTGCGGGAAGTTATGTCACCGAGATCTCAAGTACCCGCACCGTCACCCATGGCAGACTGCTTTCAGCAGAGCTTCCCAACCCAGACAGACTCGGAAGGAAGGCCTGGTGATCTGCTCCCGCAGTGAACACCCTGTGGGTCGCCACCGACTATTGTCCGATACAGCGCTGGGAGAAGAGCCCCCAAGGGTGCAGTGGACAGCGGATTGTGCTTGCCAACAGTCATGAAGACGGCGTGGGACCTGGCAGCGCTCCGTTGTGTTGTCCATGTGATCACCATGAGTCGGCGCCAACCCAGCAACCATAGACCAGTGCCTGACCGGTGCAGGGCCTGGCCCATGGGAGGTGCTCACTCGGTGTGGACTGCACTGGGGCAGCAGCAGCTATGGCTCGGAACCGACTTCACAGCACCTGTGTAAAGAGAACCCGCTGGAAGCGTGCAGTATGTCTGACTGCCCAGCCACCTGCATCTCTCTAGCAAGAATTTGGGAAAGTTCCCGAATCTAGAATCCACATCTGAGCACTGTCTGAATGACTTTGTCACACAGTGTTACCATCTTCAACACTGAGCAGGATTTAGGAGAACAGGTGAAGGGGAGGGCAAGTTGGGAGAAGAGAGGAGCTGGTCAGAGCAGAAGCAGTGGGTGCAAGCCAACGTTCCTGTTTTTTGAGCCCTCACTTTGGGCCCCAAGAGCCCTGATGGTACAGTGGGTTACACATTGGACTGCTCACCACAAGCTCAGCAGTTCAAACCCACCAACCCCTCTATGGGGAAAAGAGGAGGCTGTCTGCTCCTGTAAAGAGTCCCAGCCTTGGAAACCTATCGGAGCAGCTCTGCCCTGCCCTACAGGTTCGCCCTGAGTCGGAATCGACTCGATGGCAGCGAGTTTGATTTCGTTTTTGGAATGTCGTCCCCGATGCTAGGCTGAGTGCATTGCACACCTTCTCACACACAAACCTCCAGAAGTCTGGAGGGACGGCCCTCAGCCCCACGTGATGGATCCGGAAGGCCTGGCCCAGTAATTTGCCCAAGGTTAAACAGTGACCACATAGCAGGGCCAGGATTCAACCCCCGGATGATCTGGCACAAAAGTTTCCTATGTTAGAGGTTCTGCAGCACAGGATGCTGGGAGAGTCCCACTGTAGAAGTTGTATGAGCTAGAGATGATCCGCTCCCTGTGCCCCGACTCAGCCATGGCTGGTCAGAGGAATGTGCCCATAAGGAAGCACTGGGGTGGGGAGGGGGGGGAGAGGGGTCCATGCAGAGCCTTCACCATCACCGGGAGCCTGCCCTGGCCCTCCTTCCCAGTCCAGAGAGTGCCTATGGGAAGGGGCCTCCAACTCTCCCTCTTCACACCAACCTCTCCCTCCCTTGCCCTGCAGGCTCGAGTTACCCATGGCATGTTCACCGTGTACCCTGGGTTCGGCTCCATCCCTTCCGGAGGGCTGCAGGTCATCAACGTTGACTGTGTGGCTGACCCTGTGGGCAGGTGTGAGGAGCTCATCGCCATCGACATATCCGACCGCGACCCCAAAGACCAGCCTGCTGGAATTCCTTACACTCTGTTGGCCGAAGCCTGCGTGCCAGGTACTGGGCATACAGGGCCCTTAGAAGATGTATGGTTTTTTTTTAACACTGTCCCTCCCTAGGGGGACCTCCAGTGGTGGTCAGCAGATGGGCTTTGTTGCTTCCTTTGGGGCCTTGGACCTTAAGCATCTTCAGCCATATTCCTCACTCAAGCTAACGCATACACTCGTAGGACAGGACATCCGGCTCTAGCGTGCTAGCCCTTGGGTTTAAGTCCTGGGTTCTCAGATGAGTTGAATGATCTGGACCCAGGAACATGGACTCCTGTTCAAGCCCATGGCCGCAAAGAGCAGTGGCCAGTAGCTGCGCACACGCCGACTCTTCATTGGCCTGGGAAAGGCTGGTCAAAGTGTAGCAGCCAGAAAGAGCAATACGAAAGAGGGAGAAGAGATAGAACCCATCCCCTCACTCATGTCCCTTTCTCGGCGCGAATTTCACTGCTTCTCTGTTGTCAGAAATCAGACTCCCCAACTAGGATTCTCTGACCCAGGAATCTGTCAACCAGGCAACTGCTCACCCACTTCCCTCATTTCCCAGCCTTCGTGACCGACAACAATGCCTTGATCTTTGAGGAGCACCAGGTCTGCTCCAACGTCAACCTGTACCACATCCAGCACACCACAGGGCATAAAGGACTGTTCGTGGAGGATGAGAACAAGTTCGTGTTCTGCAATGTCCTGGTGGGCCATCAGGCCAAGGCACGGTTCAAAATCAGCAATATGGGCAAGATTGCCTGTGATGTCAACATTGCTGTTAAGCCTGTCTCCAATAAGGTAAGATGCCATCGGTCAGGGTGCAACCAGGGAAAGAGCCTGTCGGTGTGACCATCATCAAGCAGTTTCTCCAGATCAAGGGCCACACATCTGTTCCATTGCTGCCTGGTCTGGGTACCACTGCAATAAGCTAGTACCTGCTAGTGCACAAATGCTTCGTCAGGCCCCCATCCACCGTGCCTCAGGCAGTCAAAACAATGTGGGGAGACCCACTGCTCTCTCCAAAGTTGCCTCGTGGGGGGTGTTTGCACAAGCCGCATCAACACGTCCAGCCTAAGTGTGGGTTTCTTTTCATTTCTCCTTCTTGGAAATGACAAGATTTCTTGATTTCTGTCTCGAGCCAGTTTTGGAAAATCCCCAGACACATCTTCATGCTGAACAGCGGTTTCAGACAGGCCTGCACATTCTTTGGCTCGGGGAGATGTGGGAAGTGGCCAGCTTCCAGGAGAAGGCGACATAGTGAATGTTTATCGGGTGCTTCTGTGGACACTGTGCTGAGTGATTGACTCTCACTGCCTCCCTGCCATGTCGTTCATTGACGGAGTGGATAGTGTTGCTCCCTGTTTTCCAGTGGAGGAGGCTTAGAAAGGCTGCCTGCTTCCAGAGGTGGAGACTAAAGTTGGAAGCAAAGCTTCATCTGCATACCATTGAGTCCACTCTGACAGCAACCCTGAACAACCACATAGAATTGCCCCTGTGAAGCGAGATAGGAACAGAAAGCCTCGTCTTGCCCCTGTGAAGCAGCTGGTGGTTTCGAGCTGCTGACCTTGCAGTTAGCAGCCCAGTGCCTAACCCGCTGCACCACCAGAGCGCCCTTTCCCAGACCAGGGAGATAATAACTGCCCATCTCAGGGTCACGGGGCCCTGGGGGTGTCATGGATTCTGCATTGGCCTGCCAACCCCAAGGTCAGCCCTTTGAGCCCACCCGGCACTCCTCAGGAGAGAGATGAAGATGTGTGCTCCTCCACTCCGGTAAAGATTGACAGCCTGGGAAACCCACAGGGGCAGTGCTACTCTATCCCTGGGATCGCTGCGAGGCAGAGCTGAGTCGGTGGCAGTGAGCTTTTTCGTTCATCTCCGGTTCGTCTCTGTGTGGCCCCAAACTGCCTTGATTCTGAAGTCTTGCTTTTCCCTCACAATGGAAGAGAAAGTTCAGGACGCTCAGAAAAAGGGCTGGGTAGTCACCGTGTTGCCCGTATACTTAATCTCCGATCTGACATGCTACCAAAACTAACATTACGTAGGTGACCTCCACCTCTCGGCCCCAAGGTGGAATTGTGGTCCAGGGGGCTCTCAGGCCTCGGCGCTGGCCCTGTTCGCAGATGGATGGCTACAGGGGTCAGTTCACCGGGGCTTGACCGCAGCCCACAGCTGAGTGTGGCGCCTACTCCTGGGGGACACTCACTGGCGAGGGCGAGGGCTGAGGCTACCATCTGACGCCTTGTGTGACCCATTACTCTGACCTCAGTAGGACGCTGAGCGGCAGGTTTCATTCAATTCTGTACCAGAAGCATTCATTTTCTCCCCGCCCCCACCTTAAAAAACAGACCAAACCTGATTTCCAAACAAAACGAGGCTTTTAACAGGGTTTACAGTGTATGTTTTCCTCCATGTTTTCAGACTCAATGGTTATCCCTTGAAAAGAGCAAAGGAACTCGGTGCTATCGGAGTAAGAACAGGAGGGAGCTTTCCCTGGGTCCACTTGCTTCCTATCCAAACTACAAAACACCCTTCTGAGACTATGCCAAGGGTCTCCCCCTGTGTTGTGAAGGTGCCCACAGTCTTCCCAAAATGCTGCCACAAGGAGACAGATAAAATGCCTCGGGCAGGGGGTGCCCCAGCCAACGCTCTTGGTGTTGCAAGGAGCAAACCCCACTCCAGTTAGCCCTGACAAAGCAAGGTGGACGGCAGTGCAGCAGAGAGCTCAGATACGCCAAGTAGCCAGACCTCTGCGGCGTGGGAGCTGTCCACCTGCGATCCAGTCTGGAGAAGACCAGCAGATGCTCCATCCACCCTGCAGGGGCTCCACGGGGCCTCACTCTGATGTCTGCTTCTCTGTGGGCATCTGCTCCATTCTCTAGTCCTGCTTCTTATACTCTGAGCTCAACTGCACATCAACAGCCATCTGTGATCTCTGGGAAGCTCAATTTAGTGGCAGTAAGGTATGTGGGTAGGTGGATAGGTGGGTGGGTAGGTAGGTAGGTAGGTTGGTAGGTAGGTAGGTAGGTAGGTAGACAGACAGACAGACAGACAGACAGTCAGTCAGACAGAATGGCTGGCTGGCTGGCTTAGTTCATCTATTGGAATCTGCACTCATGGGCCTAGCCCAGTTCAGCTTGTTATTACTCAAAGCTGGGTCCTAGAGTGTCTAGGCTGCTTCAGGCTGCCACTTCCTGGGGCTATAGCTCCCCAGGCAGCGGAATGTTTCCCCACCAAGCGTAGAGGACAGGTGTTGACAACATAGGGAGCAGAGATGAGCAGCTGGCCCTGCAAAGCACCTAACACCCCCTGCCTTGTGCCCACCCCGCAGCCCATTGCCCGCATCACTGACATCTTCGAAGTGGAGCCCAACAAGATGTGCGTTGCGAGCCGCTCACACGCCTTCGCAACTGTGACTTTCACGCCGCAGACCATGCAGACCTATCAGTGTATCTTCGAGGCCACTCTGGACGGCTTGCCCAGGTACCAGCCCCGTCTCCTGCAGCCCCCCCCCCCCCCTGGACGGAGGGCCACTCCTGCCACATCAGGCTGATGGCCTGGGGGCTCACTGTTCCCCACAGCAACCTGACCAAGAACCGAAACCTGGTGTTTGATATCGTGGGTGAGGGTAACCTCCCTCGAGTGATGGTGGTGCGGCCCATTCTCCACAACCAATTTGGGAACCCCTTGCTCCTCTTTAAGAGGCTTCTGCTTGGTCGTTCAGAGAAGCTACCTCTCATCCTGAAGAACAATGGCACCATCCCAGCCCAGGTAAAGCTGGAGGGTGGCGGAGGGGGTGGAAAGGGGAGGAATCAATCGGCCATTAAACTTGTTACCCTGGCGTCTCTTCCATCCCTAACGTGCCCTCCTCTGGGCCGGTCTTATCCGTTATCTTGAAGGTAAGACGTGGGACATGAAGCGGGGCTCTGCTCTCAAAGTACACATGGGAGTGCAGATGACAAAGCACACCGGGAACTAAGGGCAGGTCAAGACAGCGCACCGGTGAGCACCAGCCTGCAGAGGACTCCGGTCCTGGGTGCCTCAGTGCCCTGGGTGCCCGAGTTTGGTTTTCCTCTTTTATTTTCTCTCTGTCGTGAGCGTTTCTTTTGTAACACAACCCGATCAGAGGAGCCTCGAGTGAAGGGTGTCCAGAGACCAGTTCTACAATTACATGACGTCTCCATTTCACGGAGTGGGGGGAAAACAAGGATGGCACATTTGATAAGCGGTATAGCAAGAGCCGAGGGTGCCCTTGGGGTGCAAGGGTCAAAACAGCCCGCTGCAATGTGAAGCCTGGCAGTTTGCACTCACCAGCGGCTCTGTGGGAGAAAGACGCGGCGGCAGCCTGCTTCCAGAAAGACTGCACGGGCTCGAGAACCTGTGCGGTGATTCTGCTCTGTCTCCGACGGTAGCTCTGAGCTGGAATCCGTTTGACGGCAGTGAATTGGGTTCTCGGGGGTATGGATACAGGGGGCTGTGGGACTTTGGGAAAGTGCCCCTTCCCACCTAGGGCACCAGGGAGAACTTCACCGATGTAAGTATGGCAGCTGAGTTGGGCACAAGAGGCAGCTGATTCTCTCTTCACCTGGGATGCAGACTCTGCCAGGCCCAGTGGACTAAAGACTCCGTGCTGCTTGCAAGGGCTGTCTCTCCCTTTAGCCCTTTTGTTTCCTTCCGTGAGTCCAGGCTGCCTGGTTTTCCATTACCCTGAGCTGCTTTCCTTACGGCACTGTAGGAAATGGGTCAGCAAGGAGGTCCGTGACGTCCTCCCCCAGCCGCTTCCCCTGTGTGTAAATTCTCTGGACAGTGTTTGCCTAGTTCATCTTTCCGGTGAGCATCAGAATCCCTTTGTAACCCTCCTCAAAGGAAGCCTGTGAATTACTGGGCATGAGCGTCTGCTCCGAGGTCATCGAGGCCCTTCACCAGGAGCAGTCCAAGGGGCCAGCAAGGCTTGTGGGAAAACAGCATGAGAAGATCATGGAATTTTCCCCGGGAGCTTTGTGAAGCCCCTCCTGTGCTGACACGATAGCGTGATCACATTTTTCTTGTTCATCGCAAAGCTTCCTTGGGATGTCACCGTTCCTCCCTCCCTCCTCCTCCCTCACCTCTGTATTATTCCATCTTGGATGTCTGCTAAGTTCCTCAGAGAAAGGGGCCCTGGTGCTGCCATGGTTACGCCCCTGCTACAAACCAAAAGGCCGGCCGTGGGAACCGGCAGCATGAGGAAAAGACGAGGCCGTCTGTGTCCTGGAGGACGTGTTCTCACCTGCCCTCTGTCTGCGGTCACCATGCGTCCTATTAGTCACCATGACTTAACAGCAGTCGGCGTTAAAGTCAGACACATGGCGTCTGTCCTTGTGATCTGGGCAGCACCCCTCTTCTCCGGGTGGATCTGAGGCCCTCGGGCTTCCTCCTTATCTCCGTAGCATGCTCAGCTTACCCTGCCAGACAAGGGACGCTTAGTACGGGGGTACTGGCTTTCACTGGGTTTTAGGGATTCTCATTCGTCTGACAGCGCCCTGCATGGGAGTCAGCTCAATGGCAGCGGTTCTCTTTGCTGAGCATTCGTACAAGTGCTCATCAATGGATGACTGTCCATTCCCATTTCATTAGTCTAACATATCCTAACCCAAACCCTCTGCCATCGACTCAGTCTGACTCATGGTGACCTGATAGGACAGGGTAGAACTGCCCCTGTGGGCTTCTGAGACTGTCACTCTTTATGGGAATAGAGAGCAGAGAGCAACTGGTGGTCTCGAACTGCTAACCTTGTGGTTAGCACCCCAACACGTAACCACTACACCACCAGGGCTCCTAGAGGGCTTCAAAACGTGTTTGGGCAGATTCCGTGATCTTTTCATGCCCTTTTTTCCATGCACGTTTCAAAGGGTTGGTAGTCACGATTCAATGGTCAGTAGCAGTGGCGTCAGCACCCTGGTGTGACACTGTTCAGCTGTGTGACCTGGAAAGCGGCCTCGATCCTGAGGCCCCCAGTTCCTCACCTAGATGATAAGGACTGGCCTGACGAGGTGTCCTTATAATATTGACAGTCTGCCTCCCTCTTAATAAGAAACGTTAAGAAGTGAGTTTTCACCGCGATAACTTTTGGGGTCCTGCCCCAAGCATGGCTCATGCTAGACAGAAGACTGCGGCCAGCTGAGTACTCACCCTGCTCTCCCTCCGCCAGCTCCACATCGACCTGCGGGACCAACTAGGAGTCTTCTCCCTGAGAGGGAGGCCCATGACCTCCTACATCTACATCTCTGAGGAAAACAGACCCAAAGCAAAAGGTGAGTGGAGAAAGCGTCCCCCTTCAGAGGGCAGGGTGCACCCAGTAGCTGTTTTTGTGAGGGGATTCATCCTGAGCCCTGCCAGAGGGGGATGCCCACTCCTGTCCCCAGGGGCCTCTCTGGCCCAGGCTCACTCCCATGTGAGGGCTGCTGCCCCCCCCAAGTCAGGCCCTTCCTGGGTCCCTCCATCTAACCTGGCTCTAAATCATTCCTTTTCCCTGCACAGCCAAGAAAGCTCACACAGCTTCTCTCGTCGTTTCCCCCGGAGAGACAGCCGAGTTTGATGTCCTGTTCCGCTCCCAGAAAGTTGGGAGGATGGAAGGCACCATTCACTTGTCAGTGGTGGACAATCAGTACGAGGAGACCAGCATCCACCTGGTAGGCGAAAGCTATGAAGATGACATCACCTTGGAGAACATCCACGGACTGGTGACTTCCACCAACCAGAAGGCTTTGGAGATCGCCGAGGAGAACGTCATGGAAGACACGATAACAGGTGGGAGGCGCAGTGGGGAGGTGCAAACAACCGGTGGCTCCTGGGTCATTTGCAAAGACAAGTGCAGTTGAATGGCAGGCTGGCCATTAGGGATGAATCCCCTCTTCCTCGTGGTGTGCTCAGTCTCTGCCTTCATTCTCCCGTCTGTTCATGTGCTCAGTGGATGTGACAGCACACTAGACCTGGGCACTGCAAATACTAATGAGGAGCAGTTTCTGACCTTAAGGAGCTCACATTTAAGATAGTTAAATCAGTGCAGCTCCTAAGTGAATGAAGGAGCCCTAGTGGCGTAGTGGTTACGTGTTGGGCTGCTAACCACAAAGTCACCAGTTCTAAACCACCAGCCTTTCCTTGGAAGAAAGATGATGCTTTCTACCCCCATAAGGAGTTACAACCTTGAGAACTCCCAAGACAGTTCTACCCCAACCTATAGGGTCACTGGGAGTCAGTACTAACTCTATGGCAGTGAGTTGATAAGTGAATGATCTCTCTTTGTCTCTAACCAACCGTTTCACCTGAACCGTGTAGTCTAGATATTCTAAGAGAACTGCTGGGCTTGCTTCATTGACAGGGTAGGCTTGCTACTTACGACCACTTCACTTGGTTGACTGCATTCCTTAGATTGCCCCCCCAGAAAACCCCAAAACACTTCATTTTTATTATTGAAAAGTATTTGTTAAGCATCTTAGTGGTTAAGCACAGTCCACCAGTGTTCCTAGGCGCTTGCATGCAGTCCTGGAGTGTAGCCAACTCAGTATTTCACCGCTGCGGGTGACACGGAGGGGCCAGCCGGAGTCTGGTGAAACCTAGTTCAGAAATCAGTTTTCATCCTTATGAGAAGTCTCCCAGATTTAGCTGATAGGAATACATTGGCATTTCAGATACACAGTGAATACATTTCTATTATAAGTTGTTAGGTGCCATCAAGCTGGTTCCCCCCCATAGCGACCCTATGCACACGGAATGAACCCCTGCACAGTCCTGCGCCATCCTCACAGTGGTCTTCCGCCTGAGTCCGTTGTTGTAGTCGCAAGACCACCCTATCTCATTGAAGGCCTTCCTCTTCTTGCTGCCCCTCTGGTCTACCAAGCAGGAAGTCCTTCTCAAGGAACTGGTCTTTACTGATAATACGTCCAAAATATGTAAGACAAAGTCTCGCCATCCTTGCCTCTAAGGAGCATCCTGGCCATTCTTATTCCAAGAGAGGTCAGTGTGTCCCTTTAGCAGTCTGTGGTACATCCGGTATTCTTCTTCAGCACCACAGTTCAGATGATCAATTCTTCTTTGGTCTTCCTTATTCAGTGTCCAACTGTCACATGTATATGAGGCAAATCTCCTGGCTTGTTTCAGGCGCGCCTTAGTCCTCAAAGTTACATCCTTGCTTTTCAGTACTCTAAAAAGGTCTGTGCAGCAGATTTACCTAAGGCAATGCATCTTTTGTTTTTTCATAGCAAATAACTTTTTTTTAAGATCATTTTATTGGGGGCTCTTACAGCTCTTATAATAATGCATACATCAATTGCACATTTGTTGCCATTATTATTTTCCAAACATTTTCTTTCCACTGTAGCCCTTAGTATCTGCTCCTCATTTTTTAAATTGTTTTATTAGGGGCTCATACAACTCTTAGAACAATCCATACATCAATTGTGTAAAGCACATTTGTACATTCATTGCCCTCATCATTCTCAAAACATTTGCTCTCCACTTAAGCCCCTGGCATCAGGT